GGTGGGACGGGAGTCAGAGGGTTTGGCAACATTGGGGAGGCTTTTATTCTATGTACCCAGTGGATCCTGAGAACCCAGGAGCAGAAAGGGAGTCCTTCTGGGCCAGCTAATCTGCCCTGAGCTCCCAGCATTTCTTCCCTCCCTCATGTGCTTACCTAAGCATCTGGAAATGCTGTTCTTCTGCTAGTCACCCTAGGCCCAGAGGCTGGTTGCTGCTGGGGCCCCAAGTGAGGCAACAAAGATCTGAGTGTTTTTAATTCTTAGAAGGTCAGATCTGAAAGGACCCTCTAGGGCAACACTTCATTTTACCCACAGGGCCACTGAGGCCCAGGAAATGAGGGCTTTCCCTGAAGACACACAGTAAAGTGAGATGGATCCCAGTCTGAGTTAAAAGACTATCAGTCCTACAGTTTTCAATGAGTTGGTTAAGCAACCAAAGCAAGGGCAATTTATTTTAAAGGATGGGGGAGGAGGAGGATAGAGGGAGAGTGTGTCAACTTTGAAAAGAAGTAAAATATGAAATTTGTTTCCCAAATACAGGGGAAAGAAAAGGCACTGCAGGCCCTGCTCACCAAAATTGAATTTTGATTATTTTGAATAGGTTCAGATTGCCTTTGCCCAACATTCACCATGATGTTTACTGTTGCTGGTGAGGAAGGGGTCCACCCAGACTTACCAAGCCCGCACTGTGTGCTGCGCCACTCTGCAGAGATCCTCTTTCTTCGGGTTAAAAAAAAAAAGAAAACACACACACACAAAAAAAAACCCACCGAAAAAAACCACAACACACAGTTAACCACCTGTCAGGGCTGAGGATACAATGAGTCCCCTCGAAAAAGAGCTTTTCATGCATGCGTAATATATTTGTTCAGCTATTCACTTAATGAAGCTGATAAATGTGATGCAAGACAATAGTCAAGTTAATCTATTTAGTAAAATGTTTTGAGACTTTCAGGCTACGTTAAGGAGGGGAGCGGTTGGCGACATTTTCATTTAAATGCGCTCATCTCCTCTCTTAGGCTGCACAAGGGGGTTCAGGCAATCTATGTGAATATAATTTCTTATAAATGTGTCTTTAATGGGTTTAATTCACCCTTGCCAGCTGTTTTGGGGGCTATTTTGTAAGAGCAAAACAAACGTTTCAGGCTTGGAAAGCTAGTTAAAATTAGTTTCGGTCAGCAAGGCCAAGCTATATTTCCTGCAAACCATCTGCTTGATTGGTACAATAGAAGGATTTTCAAGGAAAAAGAGGGGAGTGAGTGTGAAAGGGATGGGGGGGTGAAGGGGGTAAAGCTAGAGAGGGCTGGGGCAGCCTGTAGCTCCTTGTGGCCTATTCTAAAGGTGAACCCCTTAGAGCTGTCTTAATAGAGAAGCTGGGGCCTAGGAAAGCTCTTTCAGCCTGCGCCTGGCCACCCTCCTCCTCTGCCTCACTGATCAGCTCCCTCTTTTCCCTGCCTGGATGAAGAAGCCAGGCAATGGGTGCTTTTCCCTGCCTCTACCTGCCTCCCACCAATCTGGCCAAGGCACTTAAACTGGACTGGCCACTCCAGAGCGGAGCGCCAAACCCTAGGGGTTGCAGCTTCCAAAGGGCAGCTTTGGGGTCCAAGAATCCCGAAACGAGTGTTCCCCATCTTTTAGGAGGGAGAGGAAATTCATGCCACTCTACTTTGCTGCGGTCTTGGCCTTGTTTAGTGGCCTGAGCTTACCCGGGGGCTCCCAGGACCACGGGAGGGGGCCGAGTGGTCGCCAAGGCTCCAGGCCAAGGGCTGGGACGCGCCTGCTCTCCACTGTAGGGATGCGTCGGGGAGGGGGAGTGGAACCCTCAGGACTAGTTCGGTGAGCCCTTGCTACGGTCCCAGGGAGGCTCTGGCAGTTTTTGCTTTATGAGCCCAAGGAGCTCACAGATCTGCGGCCTCTCGCAGCTAACCTTACCACCCCAGTGTAGAAAAAACCTGAAACCCAAACCAGTATCTCCAATTCTCTTTTCCCCTTCAAATCTCCTTTCTCTTGAAAGACAATTAGGCAGAAAGCTCAGCTGGGTTGAGGAACGCAAATGATTTCTCAGAAATAAACTTGAAGATAACGACATTACAATGAATGGCAGGACGCACAAAAACCCATGGGCTCAGATCAAACTGCATTAGTCACAGGTCTTAGCCCTGGCGGTGCGTGGCACAGCCCCTTAGGCTATCACAGAGTTTGAAAAGGCGTGTTCGAGGAGATCACTTTAAAGTAAGATCCTTTCCTCAGATTTCTTGCTTCCTTAGGGTTTATTTTGCCTTTTCACGGACAGCCAACCCTCGCCCCCGCCCTCGATTTTCCTCTTAGGCCCCTTAGGAATTCTTTAGGAGTCTATGAAGACTGGCTGCAGGAAGCGCGGTCCACGTGGATCGCAGCAAGAGGTTGACCCACCTTCCAAAAAGTGTCAGGGCCGCCTTTTAAAGCAGAAAAGTTAGCTGCAGTTAGTCGTCTATAGTGAGGCAGAACGGTCGGCGGCTTGTGCATGGGTACACGGAGCGCATCAACGATGGAATAATAACTGTTAAGAACTACACTCAGGAAAATGCCCCAGCAGGGAAGGAGATCCAGGGAAGGGGGCGCTTTGAAGGTTCCAGGCTGGCCTTTCTGCACCCCATCCCCAAACCCCAAAAGTACCCAAATTGATTTCTACAAGTAAGTGCTTTATTCCAAGCATCCCAAAGACTGGGCAAGCGCCTTTTGGATAAGGACTGAAGCACCTGCAGCCTCCACAGTCTCCTTTCGGGAACCCGCAACGGCTCCTGGCCTTCAGACCCGGGCGGGGCGCCGGGGGCGGGTGGATGGGAAGGATAAAGGAAACAGTGGGAGTGAAAGAGGGAGAGGAAGAATCGAAAGGGGAGGGGTAAAGGAAGCGGGGAAGGAGACATCCTACGACAATGAAACTTGGTTTTGTGGAAGCGGAGGTGTTCAAGTAGATTAGACTTTTCTAGCCTATTTTATTGTAAAACTTCAAAAAGAGGAACTTTTGAAGGTCCTCCATAAATCTGCCTCTTCCGTTTCCTGGAGCCTCCCATTAACTCCAGCAATGCATTCCCTATATTTAAATGACCACTGATTTAAAAGTTCTTCCTTGTCTGATTGGTTTTCATCGGCGTTCCCTGCCTGCGGGCTGGTTCTCCTCCAAAAAACAGTTTGGAGCAGAAACTCCGCACTTACGTCATCTTCAAGCATCAACTCGCCTCCAGAGCCCGGCCCTAAGTAACTTTTTAATTTGAATCTAGGGAGAGCTTTAGCGGGCTCCGTTTCTGGTTTAATGTGATATAAATCGCAGATGCACTTTTATTGAATGGTTAAAGCAGCGACATGGAGATCATCAACACAAAACGCCCTGAACAAAACCATCGAGAGAGAAATAAAGCTGGTTAATAAGATTTTTGAGAAAGCTTTGTGTTAAAAAGCAAAAAGGAAAACCAGCTGAAGGTGACAGTTAGTTCATGGTTAATAGGATCAGAGCGGCCTGGCGGGGCTGCACACTTCTCTTTGGGGGAGGTTCAGCCACACTAAAGAAATGAATGGGACATTTAACACATCTGTTATCTAGCTGAGCAGAGAAACGGTGGACTGGAGGCTCAGTGCCACCTCCATCCCATCCCAGAGAAGAGCGAAGAGATTGCGTCTAGGAGGATTCTCGTTTGAGGCGCCAAATTTAGAAGAGGCTTTCCTGGTGTAGACTGACATTCTTGGGAACCGAGTTCTTCTCTCTAGGTTTCACCCGTTTGTAGATTGTAGTTAATGAAGAAGCTGCAGAACCGTGGCCAACTTAAGTGTCTTTCTGGACCTTCGCTGACATGGTTTAAAATATCCGGAATGTAACTTTCAACCCAAACTGCCGAGCGCAGCTTGTGATTGGAAAAAAAGCCAACACGGCCTTGAAAGCGTCGGGTTACCTTGCCTGAGACAGCGTTCTTTTAGGCCGTGTTGAGCCCTTTGCAGGTGGAATCCTGCTGTCCAGCATGGCAGCGGAGCTCTTGGTGGCTCCTCTCTGGTGAGCTACTGGGTGCTCCTTGCAGAGACTTCTAAAGAAACTTCTTTGGAAATCGTTTTTCAGATTGCTGGGAGTTTGATGGGGACTTGTTTTACTGCTCAGGAATCCAATCTCTAAATTAAATAGCCCAAATCAAGAACTGCCCAGTCCTTACACATCCAATAGAGCCAAAGCATCATTTTCCAAGTCTGTCTGGGTCGTGAGAGGGGGACTTTTAACCTCTATTTAACCCATCCCTCTTATCTGTTTCATGCTTCAGCTGGAGTAACCCAGACAGAGGCCAGAGAGGGAGTAGATTCTCAGATCAAGGACTTGAAACTTTCCGTTGCCCTCCTCCGCACACAAGAAGGGACTTATTTTACTGATAGCCTGGAGATGTATTTCTATGAATATTTATTGATTTATTTTCTAGGCTCAGCAGGGGAGCTGCAAATAAATTCAGTGCGTTCTTTAAATAATTCCTTTTCTATGACGCAAGATGTCATTTGAAACTTCTAAATAGGCATTTAATTAACTCGGGTGTTGCTTTAAAATAATAATAATAATAAAAACCCGACAAGAACCTTGGGGACGCACTGTATTGCAAAGAGGCGGTCGATATGCAGAATTGATGCGCGCGGGCCTTTGTTGCTAGCCCATTGTGCGGGCCATGCTTATGAAGACTAATCCAATCATAAATTGCACCTCTGCGCCAATCAGAGAGCCCAGAGCCCCCAGCGAATGAAGCCAGAGTGGAGAACTTTGTTGAACTTCATTGTCAGAGCTGTCACTTTTCAAAACGCTGTAGCGGGCGGGCCACTATAAAACCATCACCTCGACAGGAGGACCAGGAGGACTCGCAGACGTCCAAGTGGGATCGTAACTTGGAGACGTTTGCTAAGCCCAAGAGAGAGCACCGCGGGAGGGGGAAAAGCGAGGCATTCATTTACCCTCCGGCCACGGAAAGAGGGGTTATTTCACCCGCCCCGCGCCTACCATGATGTTTCCCGGGCTCCTCGCGCCCCCCGCGGGGTATCCTAGCCTCCTTCGGCCCACGCCGACGTTGACACTGCCCCAGTCCCTTCAGTCGGCATTTTCTGGCCATTCCAGCTTTCTAGTGGAGGATCTGATCCGCATCAGCCGGCCTCCAGCCTACCTGCCCCGCAACGTGGCAGCCGCCAGCATGTCGCCGCCCAGGCAGGGAGCGCCCGCGGCTATCACGGACTCAGGGACCTCGGACCTGGGATCCCCGGGTTCAGGCAGCCGGAGAGGCAGCTCTCCGCAGACTGCCCTCTCCCCTGCCAGCGAGCCCACGTTTCTGAAGTTTGGAGTGAATGCCATTCTTTCCTCGACGCCTAGAACAGGTAAGTAAAGGCCGAGCGCAGCGGGCTGATCCAGGTGCCCAGCATTCTCCAGGTCTTTCTGGCCTTAATTTTCTTTACAAACTTGCCCGTGCGCGTGCGGTGCAAATACGCACGCGGAAACTCCGAGACCACAAAGTAATGTGAAACAAGTCCAACCGATTTCGGGGAAGAAAAGCCTCCAGGCGTACCCCACCCTCTGAATGAACTTGGGCACTTGCAGTTAGCAGAGCCCGCGCACTGCTCTGGAGCGGTACAGCTGAACGCACAGCCTTGGCGTCTAAATTTCTACCCTCGACCTCCTGAGTTTTTATTTATTGGATAGCTAGTATTATGAACCCACAATTCCTTTCTTCCCTGATCCATTCCTGTCTATAAGGGCCCAGGATGGAGATTGCGGGAGGGGGCGACGAGGAGAACTATTTGGGGTGGGGGAAAGGAAAGGTTTGCACAGAGGAGACGATTTTAGGAGGATTTATTTGATTCTGCCAAAACAGTTAAAAAAGATACCTTTGAAACCAGCTGAAGTATTAATTATATCATGTATTCCACGTGCTGTGCGATGATCAAGGACGTAATCTAATTGTCTTCCACCCTCTCTCCCAGAAACATCCCCCGCCTTGCTCCAGAACCCCCCTCCCAAGACGTTTGCTTTTCCTTACTTTGAAGGCTCCTTCCAGCCCTTTATCAGATCTTCTTATTTCCCAGGTAGGTCTCGCCCCCCTTCCTTGAGTGAGGCTGGGCGGCGCCCCAGCTCTGGCTGGTCGCTCCCTGCTCCAAAGCCATATTTCTCCGTCCACCCATGGGGGTTACGCTCTGGTTCAGAGGTTGCGAGGCGTACAACATTCACGAATCCGTCGCGCCAATTTGATGCCCTATTTAGCACAAGCAGTGACTGTTTGACACTTTGCACCAATTCCCTGCTCTACAAATTAGCAAGAATTGTCATGGTCCCAATTTGAGGCGGTTCCCTTCCCGGCGAGGAGCTGTTGGCATCCCTTCACGCGGCAGTTTTCCCACAGAGTCAGTGCTCTTGGCCACGATTCTCCACAAAGGTTTCAGCACCATGACCAATTGGTCAGCTCCTCTGGGCAGCCACACACAGACCGGCCCTAGCCCCTCCACGCCGCCCAGAGACACCTACCAGCCGGGGCTAATTTCTCTTTAAGACTCATTCAGGGCTTGGGCTTTTCACAAGACCACATGGGGTGCCCTCTTGTGTGGGATGCCTGGGGTCGCCCATCGGGAGGGGGACTAGATCCTCCCCTAACCCCAGCCTTCTAGGTCCAACCTGATTTCTTGACCTCTTCTCATTCCCTCCCACCCCCCCCCAACTCTCTGCCTTATCCTTTTAAGAGCTTTGGGGTGGTAAAATAACAAGCAGTTGGAGAGAGGGCCTGGTCTAAAGGGGAAACACCTGAAACAGTTTCCAGGCGGTTTCCATCCGGGAATCTTCCTGGCGATTCAACTAGTGGCTGAAAAACTTTGCAACTGGTCAAAACTCAGAAGAAAATGGGAGGTCTAGCAAGAGGAGAGCCAGGGCATGGTCGTGGGGGATGGGTAAAACAACGACAAGCACTCCCAAATATCAGCAAAAGAAACAAGCAATTTATTATCTTTTTTTAAAGGGGGAGAGAGAATTCACCAACCTCCCCCACCACCACCATTCATGCTCCTGCTGATAATGGAATTTGCTCCCTTTCTCCCTCATCTCAATGCTCTCACAAAAACAACTCAAGCTTTATAAATAGCTTTTCATGTCCATTTAATGAGAACGATTCGGGAAAGAGAAGCTTCTGCCATCAGTATTCGCCCAATGGTCTTGGCCCGCAGTTGTGTTTAGTTTGAAAGTGTAAATCTCTTTTGTCCCAGTAATATATGGCTTTCGCTGCTTGTCCACAGTCTTTTTCTGTTAGTTCATTACTACACAATTACCATTCACGCTTCATTAGAGTCTCTGTTTCTTTTTGTTTCTCTTTTTCTCTCCCTTAAAGCGAAACTCTCCCCCTTTTTATCATGCCAATACCCATTGGGAAGCGGTCAATGTGCTAATTAGCTGCCACTTTTCATGTATTCGGGCCGAATTCTTCACGTTCTGTGGGGGAAGGGAAGAAAGATTAATATAAAAAAGATGAACACTGATTGAATTTCCCAAACAACAAAAAAATCCAAAGCGATTTTCCCCTCTCCGTCAAATCAGCAAAGTAACACTTCATTTTCATCTAAAGAGTGCAAACGCCACCAAGGTGATACAAGTTTGGAGGGGAAACTGAGTGGCCTCCGCTGGATATTTTAGTTTGAGTTTTGTAATTCATTTTTTCCTATGGCTACTTTAGCTGGCCTAAGCAGTTTGTTTCCCTGAGACCACTGAATGGAAAAACCCAACAGGCGATGGCTGGGGCTGTTTTCGTGGTTCTTCCTAATCCGGGTTTGCACGGTTGAAAGGGAAAGTTATTTGGGCGGAAAGCGCCTTTCACTCTGGCAGGTTTGTAGGTTCTTGGCCTATTCTCTAGGGGGAGAAAAGGGAGCTCTTTAAAGACATGAAGGGATCGGAGAAAAAAGCAGAAGCTGCCGCGTCCCTTCGGGTCCCCCACTCACTCTCGCCTCCCCTTTCTCTGCAGCGTCCTCCAGCGTCGTGCCCATCCCGGGGACCTTCTCCTGGCCGCTGGCCGCCCGCGGCAAACCTCGCCGGGGCATGCTGCGTCGCGCGGTGTTCTCAGACGTGCAGCGCAAGGCGCTGGAGAAGATGTTCCAGAAGCAGAAGTACATCAGCAAGCCCGATCGCAAGAAGTTGGCGGCCAAGTTGGGCTTGAAGGACTCACAGGTGAGGACCGGCTCACTGCAGCCCCTCCTCGCGCTTCATCCCGCACCCCTTGTCAATTAATTGGCACGGTTCTCTGAAACCTTTTTGGCCTATTGTACAGATGGGAAAAGGGAGCCAGCTTCCCCAAGGCTCTTCAGGACAGCCTGCTTCTTATCCCCTTGTCCCATCTCTCCCAAACCCAGTACCCCCCACCCCTTGGGGCTAGGTGCCAGAGGATGGATGGGGCAGAAGCATCAAGGGACTGCAAGGGTGGGTGGAGTAAATGCTGGAACCGGTCACGTTAGAGAGAGCGAGGTGAGAAAAAACAGAGTCCTGTTCCTCCGCGTGTGTCCTGCCAGCCACCCGCACTAACCGCAGCTTCTCGGCTCTTCTCTCCCGCCCTCCCGGACGTCCCAGGTGAAAATCTGGTTCCAGAACCGACGTATGAAATGGCGGAACTCCAAAGAGCGCGAATTGTTGTCTAGCGGGGGCTGCCGTGAACAGACCCTTCCCACCAAGCTCAATCCGCACCCCGACCTGAGCGACGTGGGCCAGAAGGGCCCCGGCGACGACGAGGAGGAAGACGAGCGCCCTGGAAGCCCCAGCCACCGCCTGGCCTACCATGCGTCCCCGGACCCTCAGCACCTGCGGGACCCGCGGCTGGAAGGGCCGCTGCCCGCCTCCCCCGCGCTCTCCGGCAGCCCCGGCAAACCTTCGGACTTCTCCGACTCGGAGGAGGATGAGGAGGGCGAGGAGGAAGAAGAGATCACCGTGTCTTAGGAGGCCCTCCAGTGAGCGGGGCTCTGGTTCCAAGTGCTTTGAATTTGGGGAGACGGGACCCAGTCTACGAGCACCACTTTGTCGCTACCGCCAAGACGCAGCTGCCCCCAGCTGTAGAAGGTCAAGGGTGCCACAGCCTCTTTTGTTGTCCCAAAGAGACATTTCCCTCCCCCACACCACCGAATTGTAGGTCTTGGTCCCAACCTTAACTTTCCAACAAGGGGTCCATCCCATCTGCTATTTTAAATACTGTGTGCGGTGGAGGTGGGGGTCTCCCACATTCTGGACTTAACCTGGTTAAGCCCTATATATTTGGTAAGAACCTTTTTTATGGAAGAGGAAAGAGTTGGGAGCCAAGACACGAAGCACAAAAATAATTCTGAGACCCCTGACTTCCTAGATCTTTCCACCCCTCTAGTCAAGTAGCAATGGCCTCCTCTCCTAGGGTAGCACCACTCCCAGCCTGTCTTTCCACAGCATTTTCTTTAGAAAGCACAGAGGAAGGGTTAAGTATATAGTTCTGTCTTCTCTAAGGGCCACCAAATATGCAGCCTTCTCTCCCATCTCCAAATGCTCTCTGGGGAAAAGAAGTGGGTTCTCCCAATAGGGCAAAAGTCAGTCTCAATTTCAGCGTGTGTGTTTTAAATGCTTTTTATTTTTAATTTCTACATCCATAGTATATGCACCAAGCACTCTATGTTATGAACTTTTATTATTTCTGGGGAAGTGACTCTGAGCTGCAAGGCTCCAGAGGATTGGTTAGGATGTAGACAGAGAGAGACCCATAAGCCTCTTTGATCTTTTTTCCCCACGGGGAACTTTGCTGTCTTTGCACAGCTTTTATGAACTGTACACTATTTTGTACATATATTTTGTATGGATATTTTATACCAAGGTTATTGTGAATGGCTCTAAAGGACTGGCTAGATTTCTCTCATCTTTTTTTGCAATGGTTTTTAAATTTTGAAAAGGTAGCTGTTTAATTGCATAACTTATGAAGAAATACTTATTTTGTATTTTTACCATGTACAGATTTTTACATATGTATATATGTATCAAATGAACAAATGCCAAATAAAAAGTAGAATGAATACAATGGTCAATGATGTCATTAACTCAAAGAATGTGAGGACTGAAAGAAATGGAGCCAGTGTAGTTCAAGTGCTGGGTTTTCTAGAAGGTAAGTCATGGTGGAGAGGCACAAAGCCACCTGGCTAGAAGCCATGCTGGAATGAGAACCTATCTCTGGCTCTTCTTCCAGTGCCTTTTCTGCTTTGCTGTGACAAGTAAAATAGTTCCAGTAAAGTACTACCAAATATTATTTTGCATTAATCCTCCCCTTCTTGAAGACTAAAATGATGGGGTAAAAGAAATCAATGCAAGTCAGGCTGGTGGCTCAACTTTGCGATGGTTTTCCTTTCCTCCTACTTCTTAGTCCTCAGGTAAGCTCCAAATTTGGCATAATCTGACTCCAGAAGGAATGTCAGTTGCATTCGAGGCATGGGAGGACAGGTACAGACTCCAGGGGTTCTGCAAATTGAAGTCCTAGAAGGCAGATTTCAACAGGGATGGTTGATTTAACCAGCCATGCAGGGAGTAAAGAACAGGAGGTTAGAATCTTAGTGGGGGCTGTTGTGCCCTCTAATGTGGTCTTTGCCATATTCACCACATAGACACACCTTGCAATTGGAAGCAAGCCATCAAGCTTGAATTTAGGTAGTTTGTATTATAGGAGAAATGTGACTACATTCTACCTAAATTAACCCTCTTTTCAAATAACACAAACCTCCTCTATGCTAATGTCTTCTGGTCTTGATCCTAACCTTGATAATCACTGTTTTCCTTAAGGTTAATACATGATCCTGAGAAACTACCAAAAATAGTCATTATTTTCATATTGACTATAATCCATGAAACCTCCACACTTCCCCTTAACACGTTTGGCATTTAACCCAGGTTTGTATCTCCCTCTCAGACAGGGAACTCTGTTCTAAGTAATTCAGTCTGCTTTCTGCTTCCCTCGGCTATTACCTGGATATCTAGAGGTGGGAACCTGACCAGAAATGCCCCACCTCTCCCTCCCTGCCAGCAGACACCTAGCAGTTCTAACTTACAGTCAGCAATTTTCAGGAATGAGGATGGGTTAGTGCCAGCAGCTGGAATCCAAATATTCTGAAGGCACTCCCATGTTCATTGCAGCATTATACACTACAGCCAGGAGTGGGAACAGCCAACATGTCCATCGATGGCTAAGCAAATGTGGTACATACCTACAGTTAAATATTATTCAACCTTTAAAAAGAAGGAAATCCTGCCACATACACCAACATGAACCAAACTTAAGGACATTATGCCAAGTCACAATCACAAAAAGACAAATAACTTATGATTCCGTGTCTATGAGGTATCTAAAGTAGTCAGACTCTTAGAGACAGAAGTAGAATTGTGGTTTCCAGGGGCTAGAGGAGGGAGAAATAGAGAGGTGCTCTTCAAAGTGTATAGCATTCCACTTTTGCAAGATACTAAATTTCTGGAGCTCTGTTGCCCAGCAGTGTGAATATAGTTACCACTACACAACTGTAGACTCAAAATGGCAAAAATGGTAAATATTGTATGGTCTTTACCACAATAATTGTTTAAATATTAATAAATACAGTTGTGCCCATGGCTCACACATGTAATACTAGCTATGCGGGAGGAGGCTGAGATCAGGAAGATTGTGGTTTGAGGTCAGCCCAGACAAATAGTTTGCATGGCCCCATCTCCAAAATAACCACAGCAAGATGTGTGGTTTAAGCAGTAGAGCATCTTTGCAAGTGCGAAGCCCTGAGTTCAAAGCCCAGTTCCACCAAAAAAAAAAAAAAAGAAAGAAAATTGGAAAAATAACTCACATATTGGAAGAATTTTAAAAATCCAGCAATAGTCAAAACTATGGTAGGAAAGCAATGTCATAAGACAATTGTAGAATTCAAGCAAGACATAATGATTTATCTCATTATATTATATATGTACTTTTAAATTTTAATAAAAGTTAAGAAAATCAGGAAAAGAAAAAGGAAATATTCTGGGATCTTTTGTTTTTTGGGTTTGGTGTGTGGGAGGGTACTGGGGATTGAACCCGGGCCTTGCACTAGAGCAAGTGCTTTACTACTGAGCTACACCCCCAACACTCTGGAGAACTTTATATATTAAAAAAAAAATTGGCAGTACAGAGGTTTGAACTCAGGGCTTCATGCTTGGTAGGCATGAAGTGCTTGCCTCTTGAGCCATGTCCCTATCCCCCTTGGAGATCTTTTTAAAAATGCCTGTCTCTCCTACATATTTACAAAGCCTTACTTCCTAAGAACTACAAATGCTATATTTGGGTTCGTTATTTTAATGTCTCTTTGGGCTGAACATCACAAGGGACATGCCTGTTTCACACAATGCTCCCTGCTGGTGTCATGCATGGTCCCTTATGCATCTTAGGTATTTGCTATGCGTTTAGTGAATAAATGAATTAAAAAGAGAGTTAGAAACACTAGAATCTGGACTATAGGTCTGGAAGTTATAGACCTTTCAAACAAATGGAAGAATTAGGCTGATAAAAAAGAAAAACTAAATTAGCAAGTCAGATATGGTTTCAAAAGTCAATAACCTTAGTCCAAAAGACTGAAACTCATAAGCCAGAGAATAATCAATAGTAAAAAGGGGAGTTTTATGGAGCACCTATTACGTGACAGGCAGGCATTCTACCAGGTGCCTTACACCTGCTCTTTTCTAACTTGGCTGTGTAGAGGAGCCACCTGAGGACCTCCCTCGGATGCAGATTATCACTCAGAGCTCTGGGTTGCTGGCATGGCTGACCCTGGTATACCACAGAGACACGGCGAGTTCTATCCTCCCCTTACGAAACGGACTAAGAACTCACTCAACCAAAATGCTACTAAAAAGAAGGAGCTCCCTAAGTAGAGTTTTTGTTTTGATATTCTGCAGTTGTGAGAAAAAAAGGAAAATATCAATGGTTACTCCTAAATCAGACTTCTCATGCTTGTAAATTCTCCTACTTCTCCACCAGACCTCTACCTTGGGGGCTGAACCAGAGATCCTAAACTTTGGTGTGAAACCCTTTTACACTCAAACATCATTGAAGGCCTAAATGATATTTTTGGTTTTATGGGTTTTATCTATCAACTGCATAAGAAATTAAGAATGAGAAAATTCATTTTCCTGCAAATGATATAATTTCATTCTCCTTTATGGCTGACTAAAACTCCATTGTGTACATACCACATTTTCTTTATCCATTGATTGGTGGTTGGGCACTGAGGCTGATTCCACAACTTGGCTATTGTGTATAGTGTTATGATGAAAATGGGTGTGCTGGTGTCTTTCTTATACATTAAGTCACAGTCCTCTGGATATATGCCCAAGAGTGGCATAGCAGGGTCATAAGGTCGGTCTATTTTTAGCTTTCTGATGGCCCTCCATACCGACTTCCATAGAGCTTATGCTAGTTTGCATTTCCACCAATAGTTTAAGAAGGTTCCTGGCATCCTGCCAGCAATTCCATCTCACCCTGTCAGAATGGCTGTCATCAAGAAAACAAATAACAATTATAGTTTTAAAAGCATGTATCACGTTTAAGTTTAAAAGTACAATTTGGTTCCTTTCTTTATACTTGGGTTTCAGAATGATAGTATAGGGCTGGCGGTGTGGCTCAGTGGCTCAGTGGTAGAGTGCCTGTCTATCCTGTATGAGGGTCTTGGGCTCAAGCCCCAGCACCACATATACACAAAAGGTAATATAGTTTAACTGGAAACAGCATACTATTAAAAATGGACTGTTGTGTAAGACAATAAACATAGATTATTAATGTCAATAAAGTTAGTGAATGATAACCTTCACATATTATCTTCCTGCCAAGTTTTTTTTTTTATATTTTTCTCCCTTCCATAAGTCAGAGAACTCTCTGATATAACATTTTTATCTTTTCTTTTATTACCTTTATAACCCACAGTGCTGCTATGGGTTGAGAATGTGAGTAGT